GGTCGTGTCGCTTTCGTTCTTCGTCGACTATACTTTTTGATAAACTGCTAAATGATAAATTTGAGCCCATGAAAGCTAACGCATTCACTATGGCTCCTCCCACCATCATCAAAGCACTAGCCATTTTTAAAATAGGTAAATTAAATGAATAGCGAAATTAGAGATAAACTGTCGGAAATTCAAGCTGACCTAAGCAACATCGAGCAGATGCTGGGTGACATGCGCGCCGATATAGATCACATCAGTGATATCCAATTCGAAACGTTTAGAAAGGAATACGAAGACCTATTTTTTGCAGCGGGTTTAACGTTAATCACCTTTTCTTTTCTTTTTAAAATATTTCAGTAGAATAAAAGAAGACTCGTATAATACAAAACTAATATGTCGCATCAATACACCAAAAAACTAAACCCGAGTCGGCGTCTAAAAACTCCTCGCGCGATTAAGGGCAAAAGACGCAAAGTAACCATTACCCACAACCCGAAAACGATAGCCACGGGTCACACGTTAAACGTAAAATTTCCGGCTTTAGGCACGGGCGACGTAATTGTACCCGGTACCGCCAAACTGGCTTTTAAACTCGATCTAAACTCAGTCAAAAAATCGAGGCTTCCCAAAATATCAGACCAAGTTAACGACATTGTGGCATCACTTACCGAAAATCAAACGGCGCAAGCCGGTTTAAATCTATAGATTATAGATTTAAACCCTTATAAATAGATTTATAGAAAATGGTATACGTCTTTTGCACAAATAGATGATTGCGCGTAGGGATACTGCGCGAGGCATAGGGATCTATTTTAACGTGCATTTGGTTTTTAGCCGTATAAGGCGGTTTAACTACGTACTCTTGAGACTCGATAAAATTATAAACGGCTAAATTTATCTGATCGAGAATGTTTGCCGCAGGTTGTTGTATTTGATAGCAAATTTGACGACCTTTGACGTTTTGGGCGTTTTATCTCGAGTGCCGTATTTTTAAATCGGGTTTATACCGTAACATGGTTCTATTGTCATAATCAACAGGCGTTTGTTTTGGCCATTGTGATAGTAAAAAAATGGGAAAGTGCATTGGCTCACTTGGGTCCCTTCTTTAACGACGGGTTTTGAAATAATTAACTTACTCGGGTCAAAGGGACCGTAATATTGGGATCAGAGTTGTCGGCATTGCGACGCTTGTGGTCGTCTGAAACGATATATACTTGGGTTGACATGGTTCTCATTTTCCGGCTTTGTCGTGAATTTTTTTCATTTTTATTCGGGTGGGATTTCTACTTTAATTAAATGTTCAACGTCAACGTCGTACTCAATAATTAGCCCAATTTTATATAAATCCTCGTCGAGTTTAGTTGGTAAATCGGGCAGCAGCTCGTTCTTTCGCGCGTGCCTCAGCTTTTTATGCTTGCCGTCTGCGAGCACCACGTGATCCATTCCTTCCAACTCGAAACAATTTACGCAGCAGGTGCAATATGTACCACCAAAACACTCCATACAATTGCTGCACTCGTAACAGTCCTCGCAACTGTCCAAGGCATTTGAATGTTCACAGTCGTATGAATTGAAACAAGCCACGCAATTTATACATCTACTGCTAAAGTCGTCTACATCTGGCGGAGTCGTTACATTGGTGACAATCGTGGCATTCTTTACAATCGGTGCATTTGCATAAACGGTTGGAATTTAAACAACGAAAGCAATCGTACGAATCTATCAAGTCAATCGAATTTCTCGTGTCTTTGCAAAAATAACAATTCACGTTTGTAATGTGATCTACCATTTGTTTTTATTTAGTGTTTATCTATTTTTTTCATTTTTTTATAACGGGCAAGTCTCGACTTACAGCGACGGGAAGTCCTTTTTTTTATTCAAGAGTGTTTGTTTGATCGGCGCAAATCACGAGTTGTTTACAGGAAAAAGTGCGCGGGGGTCAAAAGGTCAAGGTGAAATGGGAATCCACGGCGCGAGCGGGCGAAAGGGAAGGAAAGGGATGTGAAAGCGGGGTGAAAGGGGAGGTGGTGGAATCGTGCCTTTTTAAAGCCCTTTTGCAACCTTTTTTCGAGTTGATAAAATAGTCGATGAGGTACCCAGGTAAAATTACAAAAACCTGAAAACGCGTCTTTGGAGGTTTTTGATTGGAAAAAAGGGTCGAGTAGGTATAGGGGTGAATGAGGGAGAAACGGGTTGAAAGGGGAGGTGGACCAGAACTGTCCTATTCCTACTACTCGGCCAAGGTCATCGTATACAGGTTTTGGGTCATATTTTCTGAAAACGGAGAGATAATTATGAGGTCCATGTTAAGAAAAAACAGCAATGCCAAAATACCAAGCAGTTCCGAGACCATTTGAATAGGGGCCGCTTGTTTGTCTAAAAGTTTTGTTTGGATCGACTTTAAACTCATGGCAAGTGTCGATAAAAGCATCATAATCGTAATAGTTGTTGTGTAGGTCAAGTTAATGTTAGGGTCACTCGGTAGTGGAAACTTGCACGCTGCAAATATTTTTCGAATAGTGTTTTAGACGTAAAAGGTCATTAAAGCCAATACATAATGGTCGGGATCAACAATTAAACCAAAGAGATATACTGCAAAATTGATTTAATTTTGATAAAACATCAGGTCTGTATGGCAGCGATCTACAACTTCTTGTGTGGTTACCTTAAGCATTTTGCAAGCCGTTGTGATATCGGGAAACCTGGCCCAAAACGAAATGTATTTGTTAACAGCAATGAACAAGTCGCTAAAATTGACTCCCATACTAAGTAGTTTTAAAAGACCAACAAAATTTTTTTTGAAACAGAGCAGTAAATAAAAGTACGGTCATACACATTTTTCACTTTAGCAAAAATTAGCAGACGTTTCAATCCCAAAATTGCATCGATAATTTAAAAGGTGATAAAAACGTTAAAGTAAGAAAGTAAGCTTTCACCCTTGGTATTTTAACATTACAAACTCCACTGAAATCGAATGGCAAACACAAATCGAAAGAAATCCGGCACATACAAGTGGTAGACCGAGAACTAGACCTAGGTCAGTCGAAGCAACCCAACCGAGTGAACCAAGACCCAGCTGTAACACCGCCAAACCCAAGCCCAGCAAACACCAGACCTGAGATACAATATCTCGATATGACTTTATTAGACCAGATAGACCTTTGAGTGCCGTTGTTAGAACTAGAGGCAGGCAGTTATGTTTTGCTTTATGACATGATACTCCAAATATACATGACATCAACGAACAAACAACACATCTGAGAAGAGAATATGTATTAAAACGTTTTTTTAAAGAACATACAATGGTGTTAGAGTATCTAATGCTTTTATCTCGAGAAAACGTTGATATTTATGTAGAAGCCAGGCGCATCACCTTGGAGTTTATTCTCGAGGGATTTTAACCGATAACACTGACGAAAGAACGAGATCAATTAGAGCTACTAGTTAGGAGTTTTAAATACCGCAATCATGAGAAGGTTGCATAAGAAAGAGACGCCTGGGGATTTTTGCAAGGTGGAAGGCGTGGAAATGTAATCATTCCTCCAGGGTTGGTTTGGTTGGATTTGATATTATTTTAAACGCCAATCCAGGTGTGAGTTTTAAAGTTCACAGCTAGAGACTCAAATTTAATTACAAATTCAGTATGGAGACAGATTTAAATCTTAGATTACGGTTAGGTAAAGAAGTCGGTAAGTTATTGAATTTGCCAAAAGTCAGACTCGTTCCAAACGTTATTTACAAAAGAAAAATAAACAAAAACCCTTCTGGTGAGCTTTGGATACACTGTCAAGAATTGAACACCAGTTTTAATAATTTTAATGGGAAACGAAACCAATAACGAGTTTGCATTTTTCGTTGAGAAATGCACAACACAGAAAAAAATACACAAGTTGTGTGAAATTTTACATAATTATTAGCAGGTTCGTATAGCACATTGAAATTATGTAAAATTTTACACAATAACTATTAACTAAGCATCTTCATAAAAGTTTTGTAAAAGTTCACTTTGAAAATAGGTACATAAATTTGCCCAATAATTTGGTAAAAGAAGTCAAGTAAACCTTTAACCAAAAACTTAGTATAATTCTACATAGTATCTATAATAGTTGATGACCGGATTTACTAATTAATCGGCAGTTTTTACTGATTTTCCATGTAAACAATTTACAATTTTGTCATGTATTTTTATGTGAAAAATAATGTTTCATTAACAAGATTATTGGACGAATAATAAACCAGTGATAACCATGAACATTTAAATTTATCAGTTGAAATTTATTGTCAATTATACTGATAACTGTAACAATTTTAAAATTTACAATCAAAGTTAACCCGATGGCAATTTCTACCAGCAAATACAATTCAAAACGCTCGATGAGCGTGATTCAATACAATTTCCAACAATAACAATGAACACTAACTCTTCTGAAAAGTTCAAGTATGAAGAAACACGACCAGGGATTTTTGGAGACTACCCTCGGATATTGGCTTCTTAGGCAACAACAAAAAAGTTAATAAGGATGCTTTACATTTGTACGCTGGTTATAACTGGTCTTTCAAGGTTTGACAAATTATGTCTCAAAATATCACCATTAGCAAAGATAATGTTGATAGCCAAAGTCTGAAACACATCTTTTCAAAAATTCTCTGCTTAATTTTAGTGATTTTCATTTTTCATCCTGATGATCTGAAAACATTTTTGATAAGCTCAATATTTACTAAATCCAAAAAGTCATACAATGATTTGCTGATTTGCAGAATTTTTCAGCATGAAATGTTCAATGTAAAACTGTTCATAACTGTCAGTTTTCACTTGTATAGAGATTGAATGTTTCCATGAAACGAAATCATTTAAATAATAATTTTCCAACCTGGACTACTAAAAACTGTTTTTTTACCGGCCTGAAAAAAATTCTAGTTGTACTTCAGTCTTGCAGTGGTATGCATTTTGCTGATCTTCGATGGGCTTACTCTTTGCTGGAGCAGAAAAATCTGAAATCCCTGATGGTGCTGCTCTTCACATTACCTTTGATCCCATATACTGCAGCCTCTAGGAATTCCCATGCCAAGCAGCACTTGTCTTGATATTTAAGGTCACATACGAAGTACGATTTGAAACACACACATCCAGGGCCGTTAAAAGTGATGGCTACTGCAGCGCCCTCCTCTTGCTAAGGTGAAACAGATTACCCTCCCAAAGCAAAGATGTAGGGCTGAGACCGTGTATGGATGTCAAATTATTTTTTAGGTACTGCTCCAAGCTTGAGTTTTCCTGGAGAAGTTCCAAACAAAGAGTTTGACTAAGTAAAGTATTTCAACATATATGTAAATAACACACATCCAAAGAATGACAGCAAAGAATAGGGAATTTCAATATGCTTTCAAAAATCAGTGTCGGTTATTTGGGCATAAAGTTTTTCATGTTAAATTACAGATTTTTCATAAGGCTTTTCAAAACAAGCTAAAGGAGAAGTAAGTTCCCCTGGATGTGAGCTGAGGGGTTTGAAAGGAGCAAGATGGGCTAGACAAGGATTGACGCAGGGCAAGTTTCACATGCAGTTGTATGGTTGGTTGTCCAGTTTCCAAAGTAGATTTATAAAAGAGTGGTTCATAGCAGTACATGTTAAAACTGTGCTAGCTCTACCCTATTACCTCCCAACTGGAGGTTTTAAATGTGATAATTGTACGACGATTGTCGACGAGGCTGTCAACTTGACTTGTTCAATTGAAGGAATTCTGCAAATTACACACTGGAAGTCCATGAAGGCTCTTGATGACTCTGAAAAGTTAATTTGACCGCCTTTCCCCTTCCTCCTACCCGTAAAAAGGATCGGCAGAACAAGCACAGCCAAGTTCTTCCTTTGCTCTGAAAAAAGAAAAATAAACTCTTTATCATATAACAGTGCCAATGGAAGACTATCACATGCAATATCTCAAAGGGTGAACAAATTAAAAGGTCAATGGGCAATTAAAAAATTAACTTGACTATACAAGAAGGTTTTCATGAAAAAAAACATAAATTTACCTGATGTGAGATTTTCCAGCTCAATATCCTGCTCTAACACCAATGACTCCCATGATGGAGACGCCTTTGGACAGTATGTAAGCAGATGTTCTGACAGTGTAGGCCATTTACTGTAGAGGTTGTTGGCAGCGTCAGGGTGCAGAATTGCAAAGTCCTGCTCAATCTGTACAGAGATATTATTACAAGAAATCTGCTTTGCATTCAAGAATAGAGGCAGATCTGCTGTAAGCATTTTTAAAGATATTCCACCTATACTGTCTCTCAATCATCGTCTACAGTCCTGATACATCTTGTTTTTCATTAGATTTACATGCAATGCCACGTACATCTACATAGGCTAGACTTGGTCAACATAGCTTGGATTCCATGCCACATGTGTAGGCCTGGCAAGATAACAGGCCTAAGATCAGGCCTATACAACCAAACCATATTGCTAATCGGTGGTACTGGGACAACTTTGAACTAGTGCAGCAGTGGTATGCATGGTGTATGGGTCTGCTACTTAAGAAGGAATATAGGCCTACCTTGCTGACTGAATTTGAACAATAGTCGAAGGCACTGTGGAAATTGCATTTGGACCATTATTTAAATTTATTCAAGTATGCAGGAAGCCCTAGCCAAGAGACTAGCGTTATTAAGGCTACTCGTATTCTCACTGCTGGTCGTGAGAGTATAAACGTGAACGAAATCTGTACACTAGAACACTGCATACAGTCTATGCTATGCATGTCATAATGGTATCAACGCACAAGTCCCGATACCACGGTACGCCTGGCCTACCTGCCCACATGACTTTCTCAAAATAAGCAGAAATCTTTCGTTCCAAGATGTAATCAAGTTGTCTAATTAAGACCAGATTTACCTTCAAATACGGACATCAAATGTGCGAATCCCCAATCCCTCAGAAGTTGCTGCATGCTTTCCATATTGCAAACTTCAAGTTAAATGGTGTCGCGATGGCGGCGCAGTGGCGAGTGCACATGGAAATTTTACCCCTTAACTCAGTAATAATGTACATAACGGTTATATGCATTACATAACTTTTGTAAATCGTACCTAGTTATAGTAAAAATTCATCCAAATTTACATTTTTAACCAGAGTGCAACTTGATACTTGAATTAGGGAAGCAGACTCTGGCCACCAGGCAAAACGTGTCCTGGTTAAAATAAAACGAATCACTTGTGAATCCCACTAAATTGGACCGTCTTTTAATTCCATTAAAACAATTAAGACAAAGCTCACTTTACATCAATATAAAATTAAGTATCCAAGGGTTAAAACTTAAGACTAGAACAAATTAAACTAGAGACTGAATAATCAAACCCCAAAACTGGAACTGCCTAGGAGATGAAACCCTAAATTTGAGGGAGTCATGGTGCAACCTTAAACAGCCATCCACCGAGGGTTGGTTATTTCACCAGTACTGCACCAGTTCTGAAATCTGATTATTGGCGACATGTACTTGGGCCACACCCCAGTTGAGACCACATAGCAGCCCAAATAATACAGGCTGATGCAGTGAGCAGAGACGACAGAAGGAATCACACTGCCCATTCCTTTCTAGGGCATCTTATACTCTATTCACGCTTGAGTGTACACAGTACAAATAAAGGAATGCATTGCATAGCTGAATAGTAACAGTTGATGTAGGTCCATGATAGTGAACAACTATGTGATACAATGATATTAAACCATAGACTTGCTACAGGCAACTGGTTACACATTACTTTTGTAAAATAAAAAAAAATACACATAAATCATGAGTATTTAAAGTTCCAAAACAAATACGTATTTGTTTTTGGCAAAATTTTACTTAATTTATGTAATATTTTACCATATTTTACATAATTCTTTTTACTACTTAATCTGTGAGTGTGAAAAAAAGAAATCATCAACAAAAAGGGCGGAAAAACTACAATTGAGTTAGAAATTGTACAATATTTTTGAGGTGTATAATTAAAAGAAATCAATAACGCTAATACATTAAAGCTTTATCCCGAGCTCCAAATCAATTAACAAATGTAATGAAACAAGAGTCTACAGACTAAAAAGGATCGAAAACATCAAAAAGGAATTGATGCCAGAACGTGAATCGAGATCACTTGCGTACAAAATAATCAAAAGGATACTCAACGAACTAAATCATATAGAACATATATAACAAGCATGGGTGCCACTTCAGCAGTAGTAGAGGTGTCAGGGTTTCACCCCAGTGACCCCTCCACCTCGTCCCCCCAGTTTACCAAAATTACCGAAATAGACCACGGCAAAATTGAAACACTCAAAGACCCCCAACTCGACTTTTTAAAATTTAAAAAAGCCGTCACTATCGGCACTCTTAAAATATTGGAAAACCGACTCGACGTCATAAGACCGACATTAAATTTTGCCAAGCCATAGTTTTTAGATTACTTAGAAAAGGGCCAATGAGGTGAAGGTCCGGCCGTCTTTGAAACTTTCAAACCTCTACTACTACAGTTATGAAGAGGCGCACCAATAAAAAATTAGATAAATGTTAAAACCTATATATAAATTAGCTATGAAGACTACACCAAATCCCTAACGCCGACCGGTATTATCAGACTTCAGGCGTTTGAAAAAATCTTTTCTGGCAGACTTTGCTAACCCTGCGACGCGTTATGTTTCGATTTTTACACGATTGCTGGAGCTGCTCAGTCCTTCCTAAAGACATTTAGATACTTCAGTGGTTGTCCCCTACTTCTTGTCACATCTCAGCCCATTTTATTTTTTTTTAAAATGACAACTATT